CCGGTCATTACAAGCGAGCCAGCAACCGGTGCAATCATCCGCCAACAACCACTACTGGGAGTCTCTTCAGAACATTTCGACTACCTCCTATCGTGCTTAGATAATGAAGCAGCAAAAAGGACGATAGCCAATGGTTTCACTGCAGGCAACTCGGCTGCTCAAATCTGGAAGATTCTTGACGAATGTTTTTCGGTAACAGTAGACGCCCAATTGGGGACCAGGCAGTTTCTATCGCGTCACCGGAAAATGAGTGAGGAGCCCATCGAATACTTACATCCTCTTCAGCGAGCCGCAATATTAGCCTTTCCCAGGTTAGACGTCTCTGTTCAGGAAGAATTATTACGTGCACAATTTACGGAGGGGCTCTTCCCAGGTGCATTACTACAGCACCTTCTATACATGCCATGGAAAAGTATTTAGGACCTAAAAACCACAATCCTTCGGTTCGTTGCCGCGGATAAGCTATCAAACGCTTTAAATACACCCCATTTGTCAGCGAATGTTATCGAACAGCCTGGAGTGCCACATCAGTCCGACCCTTCGCAACTGGTGCCCCGATAGACAGCCGTTACGAACTAGTAAACATAATCGGAAGACGGAGTGTTTTTATTGCCAACGCTTTGGTCGTAGAGCACGTAAATGCGGGCACAATAAGTTTTGGAAGCAAGGTGAGACTAGTTTTTCCCATTTGTCTTCATATTATTCTAAATCAGTGTATCCTTTAACCATAGCTGGTAGTTTACAAGGCCTATAGACTACTATTCTACTGGATACAGCCACTGTTGATAGTACCACGTGTGTGAGTTCAAAATATAATGGAGCAGGTGCATCGAGAACTCGGGGAAACGGAAGACCGAACATGCGATTTACCAGAGGTTTTGGTGGCCATCCATCCATGAAGACGTGACTGAATTCTGCAGAAATCATAGCACGTGCCATGCCATCAAGTCACCTCAGCAAAGATCCCGTGCACCGTTAGTCTCAATGACGACAGAAGGTCCACATCAACGAGTTGGTATCGATATCATGGGGCCACTTACAACATCAAAGAACGGAAACCGTTATATACTGGTGATGGTGGACTGTTTTAGAAAATGATGTGAAGCCGTCCCTATACCACAACAAGATGCCGTCATGGTCGCTCGAGCTTTCATTGACCATTGGGTCTCCCGTTCTGGCGCTACATTCTCATTCCATTCTGACCAAGGTACAGCTTTTGAAAGCCATCTCGTCGCCCAGGTATGCCGATTATTGGGAATCCGCAAAACACATACTACTGCATACCACCCTGAAGGTAACGGCTTAGTAGAAAGAACAAACCGAACCATTAAAACCCTCCTACAGTCGTTTATCAATAATGCGTCGACGGGATGCTGTGATGATGCAATACCCCAATGCCAGTTAGCTTAACGCGCATCAGTTCATGGTTCCCCGGGATTTTCACCTGCTAGTTTACTCTTTGGACATGAATTACGCCTGCCTGTTGAGATCCAAATGCCGTTGTTGCCTGGTGAAGCTCAGGACCATGTACCATACGGCTATAACCTTCGTAGCCGTCTAGCCGACGCATATCGTCTAGTTAAAGCCAACCTACAAAATGCCAGAAAACACCAAAAGAATGTGTACGATCGACAAGCGAACGGGCCTGTATATACACCTGGAGGTCATGTTTAGCTGCATCGCCCTATGGCCCCACCAGGAACATGCGGTAAGTTTCATCAACCGTGGAAAGGGCCTTATGAAATCGTATTTATTCGGTTCCCCACAACATTCGTCCTACGTAAAATCCAGAGGCCTCAAGACGACGTTATGGCAGCACACTACAACCAATTGAAGCCAGATAGAACAACGGTGCACTTAGATACTCCGTTTGTCAATCCCTTGACTGCTACCAGCCATTGTGAGGCGCCACCAGAAGGAGGAATAGCATACCCATGCCCGCAACCAGGCACTGAGGACAGTGCCTCGTGGAGAGAGGGAGTAGTGTAACGGTAGTGAAAATCATTACATGCAAAATTAATAATGTGAGTTTGTATTTCTCATTGCACGGCAACAAAGAGTAAATGCACTGGAAGAAGAACAAGCCCTACGCGATCTGAACCTGCAGAATAACGAGTAAAACTATTTTGTAATAACTTTCCCTTTTTGTACTGGAACCGCGTTTTTCAATTTCAAATATATCTAATGTGCCAGCACACCGTGTTCTCACTTCAGAGGCACTTGTCTGTCCTGACTGTTGTGTTGCTGTTTCAGGTCGCTCCTGCTCCAAAGTGAACGTCAAAATATAACGTGCTACACTATTAATGATTCAATTTGAAATGATTCGGACTATCTCATTGTTGATATTTTGACTGAAATCCCATCATGCAACGTGTGCGAATTACGTTAAATTACCTATTATAATACTAGTTTATATAAAGTAGATGGAATATAGCTAGCAGTGAAATCCAGAGCGCGCGTTTCATCCTATTTGGAGCTCGATAAACGATGAGTTAACATCATCTCTCAGATGCAAGTGTATCAAACAGACGAGTCTCAAATAGTATGAAATGAGAATTCTGGATTTCACTACTAGTCACATACCATCTATCATATATACTGTCAATAAATCTTTTTAGTAGAATTTCGATATACCATTACGTGAACAAGGTTGTCAATAAGTATTCTGGTGACTTTTATCACAAAATAACGTTAAACACTTTCATTTTGAAGTCAGATCGAGTTGACAAGATCTCTTTTTAGTGATCATGGGTTAACAGAAAATAAAACTTTAGATGTTTTTTTCGCATATTTATAATTGCTTGAAACTGTTTAGACTGAATGTATTAGCGAAAACTTGTTCTTATTTTTAAAATATAGTAGTTCCAACGGAACACTTATATCATCAGTGACTATATCAAAACATCTATACGAAAATAAACTAGAGTTATAAATCAAAATATATGATGGAATATCACTACTCTTCTAAAATACAACACCCAATGATTAAATTCCTATGTTGCCTGATAGTGAACGAAAATGATGACGTCGAATTCAGTCAAAGAAGTGTAGAATCAGTTGTATTTCCTAGTTTATAAGATTTTATTACAATCACCAATATATTAAGATTTACTTTATACCTCCCAATAATAGCTAACTAATAACCGATTGTATATAATAATTTGAATTCTATTCCTGAGTGCGGGATCATGGATACGTACTGTTGAGAAGTCCGACTCTAAGACTGATAACATGTAGTATCCAATCAACTTATCAATATCGTAACGATGCAAGTGTAATAATCAACTACAAGAATGATTACTGAATCGTATGCTGAACAGCTTGTTTCGGAAACACCTAAACCAGCTGTCTGTAAACAATATCAATTTATATTATTATTTTTTGGTTCAAATTACAACGTTAAACGTTATCCAAAATAATGAAGTACATTTGAATGATATCCAAAAGCATTAAACTTGATACCTAAGTCTTCATTTCATCAATGAACAGAGAAGTCACACCTAATCATGCTTACTTTTATGCTTCATAATTTGTATATAAGCATATTATTTCACTAAAGGAAAAATCTATTCGGCTAAACAGAACATTTTCTCTTTGAGATCAATTTATTCAGAAGATTGAATCAATAACTTAGTCTTGTAAGTAAATATCACTTAGTCACTTCCTACCACTATGTACAAAGTATCGATTAGCACTTTTTTCGTTCATAGTAACAATTCGAAACATGTTCAATATGCAAAAATCCGCTTCTTCATGGCAACTTGTATTGTGGTGTGGTCTAATTATATCCATAAAAGTAGTATATGGTGATGTTTAGACATAGAATGTATTTTGGCAGAAGATCGATAAGGAAAGAACAGGAATGAAACGCAATTGGTAGGAAAATGCACAAACAATGAGATTAGAGAAGATGAACTGATATTTACAGAAGAAACAGTAAAGATTGACACAGTTGATGGTTATTTTGCAAATTAACTGTTCATTGTATGGTTATCAGAATTTAGTGAGATAGTCTGTAATTTGTGTATAAATACATTCGATTGTCCCAACCAGTGTTTTATTCACTACAGTATGACTTAAACGAGACTGTATAAATCATATTTGTATACATTCTATTGAATAGAGATTTAGGCGAATCACCCGTCTTACTGTTTGATTGTCTCACCAATAAGATATTACCATGCAGAACAAGTCTTTGTAAGTGGCTTAGATAAATGTTCATGATGGTTACTTCATTAATGTTAGGATTTAAAAAAATACTAATCATTCAGACACAATCAATTCAGAATCTAGTACAGATGTGAGACGGTCAGAGTTATAATACTACATCGACAACATGGATAATAAATAAGTCGAAGTAACAGTAATATCAATAACAGTTAAGAGAAAAAGATTAAACAATAAGGACGTAGTTGTAAAAAAATGAACCTGAGTAACTAATATCCACACATGAGATCTAGAAAATTGGGAATAAATGTATTTAACCCATTTCTACCTAATTTAAACCATTTTAACTAAGGCCTTCAAATAATGGATAAAGATAATAAGATAGTCTATAATTATCAATGCAATAGTGACCCAACTGCGTCACAAGACAAAATCTCACATGGTATCCTGAAGGCCAAAGGAAAAGAGGAAGACCAAAGAACACATCACGCCGACAAGTGGAAACAGGCATGAGAAGATTGAACAAAAGTTGGATAGAACTAGAAAGGAAGACCAAGGACAGAGTGGGTTGGAGAATGCTGGTCCGCGGCCTATGCTCCATTGGGGGGTAGCAGGCGTAAGTAAGTAGTCAGTGCAATACACAACATTATTCTAAAAGCTTTACCAAAACTGTATACACTTCGTATTACAATTTATTCATATAATCTACGTAGTTTTTATATATACAAAATAACCTGAATTTTATATAAAAATTAAGTTAAGATAGTTTACCTTTGGAAAAAAGAAGGAAGATATATACAAAGTGTTTCTTCGGTTACTATTCAATTATGTAGTTAAAACAAATGATACGCTAAAATAGGTACCATGATTGAAATAATTAAAATTTTATCCCAATAAATTCGACACCCTGATAACTGTAATAACAAAAGTAAATGGGAATTATGTAATCAGAAGGGGGTTTTTTGTGGAGATTTAGTATTCTCATAGTTGAAAGCGTTAGTCAATTGAAGCTAGACAACCATGGAAAACATGGAAGCACTGGACGGCCGTTTCGTCCTATTGTGGGACTCCTCAGAAGTGTGCATCCATGATCTCGCCTCGCGAGATTGCATTGGTTGAAGTTAGACATTAACATCATCGGATGCTAGTTCAGTGGTTTATCGGTCAAGTGCTCTGGCGCGAGACTGGTAGGTCCTGGGTTCGAATCTCGCGAGGCAGGACAGTGGATGCGCACTGCTGAGAAGTCCCACAGTAGGACGAAACGGCCGTCCAGTGCTTCGAGGTTTTCCATGGTGGTTTAGCTTCAATTGACTCACGCTTTAAACTATGAGAATTATGTAATCAATGATCTAAATGTATATTATTATGAAAATAAACACTATACAATTGAATCATATTATAAATTTAATAAAGTCGAATGAAGCATACATATGAACAAGTGTGTTTAGATGGATTGTAGTTAGTAGTGAAATCCATGATGTGTGTTTTGTTCTATCTTAGACTAGTCAACTGAATGTATCAACATCCCACTGTTGATGCTGTTCACCCTAAGACTTGAATCCAACATTAATTTTTAATGTTTGTCACAATCTATCTTTTTTCTTTTTATAGTTTGTAATAAAATGGCTAAGCTGAGACAATGAGTGATTTACGTTATGCATATAAAAATAGATTCGACTGTTGAAAGTCACAGCGGTTAAGTCATCAAAGAAATTCAAACAATTTACTTATCAAAGTGAAACGCAGAAAGGACCACAATTATATAAATAAAAGTGATCAACTTTAAAGCTCAATAATATTTATGTGCAGTAAGGGTTATTTTATTATTTATGAATAACTTGTTGTGTAAGTTTATCATCACTGATATCTGAATATGAGAATCATTGAACTAATAAGTGATCATTTGATGGGCAACATCAGTTCGGATACTATTAAGGACCAGGAAGCTATGTATAGTTGTTTCGTTCTAGAATGGAACTTTTTAGTGGTATACACCCACAACAAAACGAGGAGTCAAATTAAAGTACTCCTGGTATAGAAGAAAATACTGACTCATTTTAACCACTGAACCGGTCTCCAGTTTCACAATTCCAACCTTAGTCGATTTATAATGTAGTATGACTATGATCCAGTGCCATCGATGAAAGCAGTTTCACTCACAACAACTCCAAAAACCACGACTTCTCAGTGGAACTTCACGAATAATTCGAAGTGCTTAGTGACCTAAGCCCTGAATTGCCTGGGCTCGATCTCTAGTCAGTTCATAGGTTTTAGTGTGTAATACTTATGTTGACAGATATAAGTAATAAGTATCGCCAGTCGATGGTGGCAGAAGGTTATGAAGATCGAAGAGAAGAGAACGAGAACAGAGAGTGATTGGTATGAAAATGAAGAAACGATGAAGTTCGAGATGATTGATTAACATTTTGTAGATGAAGCATTTACTGTATGGTTCTCAGATTTCACTAAGAAACTCTGTAATTTTGTGGCCAAATACACTTGGTTGTCCTCGATTTTGTTCGCGTTCACCACGCTTCGAACTGCTGACGAGTCCAATACTAGGACAAAACACCTATCCACTGCTCCTAGAGTTTTAAAGATAGTCTAAACATGATTGTATGCGACAAATGCTGCGTCAAACTCTAGCCAAATCCTAAAATACCCATTTAAATAGCCAATGAACAAGACGTCACTTTATGTTAAATACGAGTTTTTGTAATATCATTAGATATGTTATATGTTAGCAATGAGTTTTTACAGTAACAAATCATAAGATAGTTTATAATCGATAATCGACTATGGAACTAATGGCACGTTTCAATTCATTGAATACGGCATTCAATACACTTAGTCATAGAAAATATAGTTACACACTAAATGTTGCAATGATTCTGTCTTTTGAGCTCTGTTCAGTTGAATTTTCAGAGCCAGTTCGGTAAATACATTATCAACCCGGCCGATTTACACACTTCTGCAAGTGATTCCGTCAGTTGCATCGTTATAGCAATCTGTATGACTTTTATAGTGATCTTTATTTCGTTAGGCGGTTCATTAACTAGGAAACGACCAAAAACTGCTATGTATAATGCTGGAAAATGTGCACAATTTCAAGAGTAAGAAATTGTGATAAAAACTTCTTTCTGGTGCTTATTGACTTAAAAGGCGTTTTGCGGATTATGACACCTTGTCATGGATAAATAACTGCATTTACAATATTTGATAACTGTTAGCCACTAACCATCCCTGCTTACCATGCATGTGAATTAAGGCGATATCAAGGCAATACGCACAGTATGCACATATACCAATTAGATACTGACCAGTTGCAGTTCTAAACATCAATGGGAGGATTCAAACAAACAATACTAACTGAGCATAAACTTCACCTTATTGCACAAGCAAGTGGCTATCAGGACCCAGTAGCAAAGTCGACAACGTGATGGCATTTGAAGCGAACGGTACTGGGTTCGAGACACAGAATGAATATCAACTCTGAGATGCAGGTACATCCAGCTGACGAGTCCCAAATAGGACGAAACGCGCATCCTGGATTCCACTGCTAGCCACTACTCATCTCTGCTTACCAAATTTGATGACTAAGTTTGGACTATAAATCATCAGACGATTGAGTGCAGATGTAATATTAAACGAGGTGATTAACAATAGTTAGTCGTTTTACGATAACTGTGGCACCAACACCGTAACTTGATCTGCAGAACTCGTTCAGCACCTATGATTACATAAAAATCAGTCACCGCCTGAATAGCTCAGTGGAAACGTCCCAGATTGTGAAGCTAGCTGACCCATGTTTGGATCATACAGGGACCATCACCTTCATCAAGCTTTCTGGTACGGTTAGCTGACAACAAACAATTAGCACGAAAGCAAGGTTCAAGGTTATTCGCTGACTACCTCCAACCACTTAATATATGAAAAAAATCATTAGAGATTTTTTAAAAAGTCTTCGGTTATGTAATCATACAGTTTAGATACTTCCCATTCAAGAAGTTCTTTATTGACATGATACTCAAACTGATTATTTAATATTTTGGAAACAAAATAAATGTCTTGACAAGCCTGATAATAGTTACAATTATTATCCAAAAGATATAATATTTATGTTTTTGTAAGCAAAAATGGATAGTGGCTAGCAGTGGAATCCAGGATGCGCGTTTCGTCCTATTTGGGACTCATCAGCTGGATGTACTTGCATCTCAGAGTTGATGTTTATTCTGGGACTCGAACCCAGTACCATCACGTTATTAACTCGGCCATTGAGTCCTGATAGGACGAAACGCGCGTCCTGGATTCCACTGCTAATCACTATCCATCTTTGCTTACAATGCTTGTGAATTTAGGCTATATCGAGGCTATACGCACAGTATACACATATGCCAATTAGAGACTGACCAGTTGCAGTCCTAACACATCGATGGGAAGATTCAAACAAACAATACTAAATGAATTTATGTTTTTGTTATACATATATAACTTCAATCAAGTGAAAAATAGTTCTGATTACATTTCAATCAGTATGATTTCATTTGTGACAGAGAATACATGGTGAATGAAATTCTATCTCAAATATCTGCAATGTTTTTACTGTATATCACTGCATTTGATATTTATTTTTAATTTCCAACTATATATTTTAGAGAAAAACCTTTCAGTCTCAGTTCAAGATGTTTAATACTTTGATTATTGGCTTTCACAACTTCAATTAACTCATAAAGTTGAGTGATCGGATACAGACATCACAAACCCAAAGGGTTGAATAAACAATTTAGTATTCAGGTACACCCAAATAAAATGAAATGTACATCCTGGGCTTCACTGCTAGCCACATTTCATTTGTTCTATGTTTGAAATAGTCACTAAGGGTTACACCGTCCAACCAAGATCCTCAAAAACCCTGATAGGTATTTAATTAGTTCCTTAAATGAAGTCAATCACAGAGTTTAGTCAAAGATTAAGGCAATATGTTACTAACTTAACTTAAGGTTATTCACACCGGGGAATAAATTCAACAAATCATGCTTGTTTTAATGGTACACATTTTAATTGTTGACTCACTGTTGCGTAATAATTACACAGTTCACCTTGACAACATTCCACACATCTCCAGTCCATATACCATTCACGTTGACAAGTTTTACCAGCAATTTCTTTTTGACGCTCACATTCTTCTGTAGAAATACAAGCTTTCCATAAAAAGTGAGTTCTTTCTCCCATTGGCGACCAATAGGGAGGAACTAGAAGGAATATGATTTTGAGAGAAAATAATAATGGTTAAATATATGAGTAAAATCTTCATAGCGCTATTTTATCGTTCAATTTTGATTTGAATAAGCATCTACAGATGTCATTTATAATGATTAGTACAAGTCGTGACACTATATCAACACGATGGGATAGAATTAAGATAAAAAGTGAAGAATTTAAAACTATTGAATAGCAATGAGAAATACTAAAAGAGAGGTTAAAAAGACATTTTCTAAAGAATACTGAATCCCACAATCAAGAAGATAGGGACTAAATGAATCCCCATAATTGTAAGCGATTTTGAGCCATATTACCTAACTTTTCAAACAACTGATCGAAGTTATCCACATAAACATAGCCACTTGGCTTGTCTCTAACAGAACCACTCAGATCAATGATAAATGATTTGATGAATGCATTTATTTTAGAATTATCCTTTTGCTACTATTATTATTATTATTATTACCACTACCCCCAAACTGGCAAATATTGTCTGTTAAGGTGGTTGGTGGTTTTATACATAAAAAGTGTCTTACCCGCCTAGATTGATAGAAATTAGCAACTTTATTAGTCGATGTACCATGTTTGACTAGTTACCTATGCTTAACCACATTACAGCTCCCTCCAAAATACACATCAATGTTTTGAATTAAACAACTTTATAGATCATGAATATACATATAATAGTAAAGGAAGAACTAATTGTACTTTATGACACACTGGCTACCAAACTCCGGTTAACAAAATTGTAACTATAATAATATCAGCACACTGAGATTATTGTTATGGCTACTAGACATTTGGTTACGCGAATAGCTAGCTATTTGCACTATCATCCAGATCATGCAAAACTGTATGTTTTTAATTAGTGTAACCCAAATCTATGAAACCAGCTAGCTTATAAGTAATTACGAAGAAAAATGTATACGTCTTTTCTTGTGGCTATAAAGTGATGCAATTTCAGGTATGTGGTTTGTAAATAAACCAAACTAATGTAACCCGTCATTCAATCGCAAATAACGTAGGATCTGACGCAAATGTATGTCAGTTCAAGCTGACACAACGATGACTTAACCAGAGTAACCTAGAGTGATACGAACCTAAAATATCGAAATGACCTTGGGTTCAGTGATAGCAAATAAGTAGACAAAGAAAGTACATTTATGAAAATTAAGTAAAATCGATGTATAAACAGCAAAATCCGTCAATGAAATTGAAGATTTTCAAGAGAACAAAGAATAAACACATCTACATCATCGCAACCAATGTTGAGTCATGGTTATCTCACGGATCTCAACTAGTTTATACAGACACATTCAAACAAGTGAGAATAACTGTCAATAACTTCATTGGATTATGTTGGGTCTAGCTTTCCAATAACTCACTACTATTCATTACATATCAAGACACGTGGTGTTGCAACACGTTTGCAAGCTAAAATTGTGGAGCTATGGGGTTTAGTAGTTAAGAGTTTTGGTTTTCAGCCATGAAGCCCCGAGTTTGAAGTCTTTTTCACTTCGGTTTCGGCAGCTGCGTAGTGTTATTAGGACATCACATTTGGAATGTGGCTAATATTCAGGAAACCGGTGGGTGAATTCAATGTAAATCGATCATAAATCAAATGTCAGTCAGTCAAATCAAATGACATAATTTAACGGTTGTATCGAACAAATCGAGCCAATACAAGAAATATGACTAAACTTCATTAACATTTTACATTTAAATTTACGTTATGGGAGATTACAAACAATATAAATATTAAGCAGAATATTTTAAGAACAAAAGCTGTCAGCAAAAAACTTCTTTACACCCATCACAAATGATCATACTTTAAATTAACAAGGAAACATATTAGAAAAAGCTTTAAAATTCATTTATACACTTAAAGAATAAATCGTTTTTTTAACCACAGAAATTCAAGTCTATGCGCAAAACGCTTCAGTATTACTTAGAAATGTGAAGATAAGTAAATGGTGTAGTAAACTTTAAAATATCACGCAAAGGGTTACTCTACAAATGTAACATCTTTAGTAATGAAAATATTTGCGCTTTACAACTCAAATGGTAAAAATTAACTGTCTTGTACATTTTAAGCACGAAACGTAAGCCTTAAAATGCCACACATGAACACCTAGGTCCATAAAGGGAAAACAATGGTTCTACAGTGTTCAACAAATTATTCAATAAGATCATAACACTACCGTTTGACAGTTCTTGTGGTCACCAGCAAGTTTTATCTTCTTGCTTAGAAAACCATACAGAGTCCTGTCCATCTTTAAAGTCCGCAAGACTTTGGAAATAAGCTCCACGCCCTGATATTGGAGACGTGAGTAGGTTTTATCATAGAGAGAAATTTAGAAAACAACGCTTTTTCTATGTTCAACATTTCTAACAACAGAAACTGCACGGAAATTTAATAATTTCGGTAGAACAGGTTAGCAGTAACAAGTTATCACCATGGGCAGTGTGAATAGTGCTAAAAACCCAGAACACGATTTAAGTACAAAATATGAAACTTATCTTTGACGATAACGAAATGAAAATGTAATCAGCTTACTCGTATATGAAATATTGGTTATACAGGAGTGTTCGTCTTCTAGACATTGCATTGTGGTCTTGATGCACTTATCTTTATTCCCTTCCTGATTCCTGCATACATAGCACTCCATGGACAACACTTTACAAAATTAAAGTTAAAGGCAACATACATTCTTTGAAAATTCCAAAAATGAATAACAGGGTAACAGAAGTTGTCATTTCCTTGAGACCTTGAAAACCGAAAACGAGGGCATTAAATGATAAATAATAAAAGATGTATATAAACAAATGGTAACCGGACGTACTCACTTCGCGAAGCTGTTCTAAGAAAAAATGGTTTCCCACTAATAATTATCGCAGTAATCTCATGATACTGTTTCAATCATCACGCTACTTGACGAATTTCATTTCCAGAAAAACTGTTTGGTGACTGTCTGTTTGTAATACTATTTAAAGATTCGAGCTAGACTTCCGAAGTCATGACTAAATTAGTTCTTAACTGTATGTTCCCTGACTTCAGAACAGCAGGGATAATGCAATTCAACACTAAAATTTTTTGTGCCCTGTAGAAGACAGTTTGAAGATTTCACAGATATTCCGTTTTTGACAACGCATTTACACATAACACACTTATAATCGATGTATACCAACCCAGGTAAATCAGAAGTCAGAAATAAAAGGCTTCCGAGATGTGTTAGGAAAGCAGGTCAGCAGTTACAAGGTATGGGTGGTGCGGCGTACTCACTCGTGACCTGATGAGCATGCATCACCAAGGGCCTTCAGTTTGGTCTTGTCCAGTAAAATTAATGAGGTGGACACCAATTCGCAGGACTAACGAAACTAATTATCCTTTGGGTTTGCTTATCGCTACGGCTCTCTTCCCACTTAATTAGGTTATGATGACCTTAATACGTGCCAGGTAGAAGTTGAAGTCTAAAGAGCCTGTAGTTGATAAACACTCTTCTGAAAGCTTGCTGCGTTCACGAGCATCTGATCGTCTCTTCTCAATATGGGAGGCCATTTGGTGCAATACAGTAATGAACAAAATGTACAATGAATATTTATATTTCTCGTGTTCTTCGTCGGGCCTTCATCTTTCCAAGACATCTGGGTCAAAATGAACAAATTGAAAGTGTATGTCGAAATACACGCTTACGTGCTTAAGGACACGAAACGTGAGAAAAAATTGACGTACATGCCTTATGGTAATATGCGACAATTAAAAGTAATTTTAAACAATGAATATTTTGACTTTTTTTAAGAAGACGGAAAAATTTACACATATATGAGCACATTAGAAAATAAAACACACTATTGACACAACAATGCAAACAAACTAGACAACATTTTACTCAGTATCTTATTAACAGTAATCATTTAAGTGTTCTTGTAACCTTACCCCTCTGTTATGAAGCGTCGTCTCGGTTTGATTCTGAGATACCGGTAGATTGTCTTTGTGATTATTGTTCATCGATTAGAGTATCACAACTGTGAATCTCGAGTCATTTGACTGTGCAAGAGGGAAATCAACATTATTAGGATTCCGTTCAGAAAACACGACTTTAAGACGGTCAGTGCTGTGGTTATCGTTAGTTTAGTTTTCATATAGATGGTATGGTATTTAGGTTTACGATGGAAAACATTGAAGGGTCCTTCGTATGTCACTTTGAAAGGTCGTCTCAATGAATCGCAACATATGGAAACGTATGTGCTGTGTCGTAAGGCGGGTTGAAAGAAGACAGCAGTTGACTGCTGTCCAATAGAAACAGTTTTAACTGAACGTATAAAATTTATAAGCACTCTCATGTAAGATTTTGGATTTATATTCATAGAAGAAGATGAAGAATCAAGAAATTCACTTGGAGGTCTTAATGCCGTTCCTTAAAGGTTTTATGCTGCAGTATGTCCAACGTGAGATTGCACTGCATTGCGAATACTGTGTGACACTATTGGAATGTTACCAGTCCACTGTTTGTTGCTGAGAGTAGAGCTTTCAACCATCAGTGAGAGCGTTCTACCAAGTCTTTAGCTTGTGTGTGATAAGTGGACTTTCTTATTCATGTGACTCCTAGGCACTCTAAAAAACTTTCTTTATTTGGATTGCCCCCCGAATTGGAATCCTTGCCCAGACGAAGTGACTACAGCTACAGGAAACTACGTGCCAGTCATTAGGTTGAATCATTTCACAGGCCAAATATCAGAAGGCAATAGAAGGTTGTAGTAAGATGTATTTGTTGGCGATCTCGTGGTATCGAAATAATACTGAGATCGCGCCAAAGTTTGCAGGCGGGACTACCGAGTGTCCGAGAGTTCGTACAAGGTCACAAAGCAACAGGAAGGTGTTTTTATTTGTATACTTGAACAAACAGGTAAAGTAAAACAATCACTGGCACAATTGATGATAATAATATTTGTTTCCGTTATACCAAACATGCTCTTTTCATATAAGAAGTTCGCTACAGCTTCAAAGTGGTCAAGCGTCTTTCGAACTATCTCTACATGACAAATGTCTTTTAAGGAAACCACTTTTGTTGTAACCACATGTCCTTTCCACACTTCTATGTCTCTTACTATTATCTCCGTTTACCATTTTATCAAATTTCAATTTTCCCATGCTGTCTGCATTACTAATTAGCTAACTTATTTATATAGATATTGAAACAATGTCCTCTTGGCATTTGTACTTCTATTTTATTGTTTATTACATTGAAACTAATCAACCTCTTAGCTTGTAATGAGGTAGCTTCTTGATTCGGATCCAGATTATTAGAAAAATAAGCCTAGAAACTATTTTCAAACTGACTGGAATAAGTGCAGTCGATTGTCCAGATAAGCTCTCATAATACATTACCAGAGATACGTTATCGTACCGAAAAAACACAAAGTGAGCGCAAACAAAAAAATCGATTTATACAGACTCAGCTCAATGATATTAAATGTTGTAGTTGAAATCAATAGTTATTTGAGGCTAGACCACCATGGGAAACCGGGAAGCACTGAACGACCGTTTCGTACTATTATGGGACTCCTCAGATGTGCACATCCACGATCTCGCACCCGCGAGACTCGAACACAGGACCCATCAGTTTCGCGCGCGCGCTTAACCACCAGATTACCGGTGGTTTAGCTTCAATTGACTCATGGTTTCAAATATAAAATCATTGAAATCTCCACAAAAGCCCCTTCTGATATTAAATGTATAGGACCTCCAGTTCGAAACAGGTAATATATAAGAACATTGTTTAATCCTCAATAACAATCCCTCACATCTTTCCATCAGGTTTTGAGACATTCTGATGGATAAATTGAGTATTTTCTATTCAATCAAGTATATTGGAAAAAATAATGTCATAGCAACATATGGCGATAATGACAAGGTTGTATTTGTTCATTTGGCGGAACACTGGAAATACGGAGTCATGGTTGTGGATGTTTATATATCATCGACCTCAGGAAATACAAAAGTAATTTCTTCATAAATATCTTGTCAAATCATTATAGGTCAAAAGTAGACAACAATATATCATAAATATACTCAGTGCAGCTAAGATACCGTTTGAAGTAAAAGATATATCATCCTCAGAAACTGACAAACAATTTATGTTCAAAGCTCTCGAAGAAAACGGGAAAACAGTAATAGCTCCTCAGCTTTTTCTTGGATCGGAATACCTAGGGGTATGTCTACTCAGATCTTTCTGAATAACTCGTTTTTTTGTATGAATATGTCCACTAGTAAACTAGCAGCTATCATATTTTGGATACAACAAAACCTTACCACATGTAGTTAGTTTAATCTGCTTTCAACAGAACCATATGTTCTGATCGTAATGCTGGTTTTCTGCTAGCTGCACCGCTAGAAAATTCGTCAAGACATACAATATCGAAGGTTTTTTTATGGTTGTCGGATGTTGGCATGGGCTACATAATGTAAATTTCAAGATAAATTGGGGCTTCACTCCCATCTCATTACTTCGTGTTTCTCTTTCATTTGCTTTAAAACTCACTTTCATGGTTCTTGTTGAAGATTTGTAGGTTTGGTCTAATTGTAAATGTTACTTAGACTTAAACTGTAAAACAAAGAAAATGCTTGTTTATGCTTCAACAACAGTTTTTCTTAATGAGATAGCAACGTAGTATGCGTACTGTATATGTCAAAAAGTCCTGTCGATCCTTATTTGTTGATAATGGAAGTGCATAGTACGAGCGGAGCAACCACCAACCCATCATACAGCATCTCAGATCTATAGGTAGCTCTATCAGATTATCATATGCCGGGACATTTCTGTTTAGTTGGGGTTCTGGAAATCAAATGTGATTCAGGATATAACCTAATGGTGAGCTGTTTGTGGTTATAATGTACTTAAACGCTAAGATACATTCTTTTGAGATGTAGGGTTTATCTACTCAGTGTTTTCATTTGCTTTGTGTTCTCAGGTGTTTGCATTATTCTTATCTCTCGATGTTTCCCTTTCATTCATTCATTCATTTGCAGAAATATGATTCCGTCTTGCCTGATATATTTCTTGGCATCATAAATGTGAGTAGAGGTTTGTAGGACTAGTATATCAAGACTATCATGCCAAAGAAAGCATTATAATGAGTACACAAAGAAATATAAACCCTCAGTAATCCACATATACTTACAACAAGTTGAACGTCTGTAGATTTACCTACTATGCAGTAGTATTGTGGCTACGGATGCTGAAAACCCTATGTTAGTTGCCTAACCATTTTTGGGTTTTAGTTGTGCTTCTTTAAATATACTATTAGGTTTCACAAAATTTAAAACTCAATGCTTGCAGCATCAATAAACTGCAGAAAACCTGTTTATGTTTCTGATCGATTAAGTATTCGGATACGGTTAACTACTTCCTGCTAGTTGTAGCGATTGTCACTGAGTGCATTCCGTCCCGTTATTGGGGTAAAATCACTTCAGCATCATGTTACACTTTATTAAATAGCTAGCTGGAACTTCTGAAAACTCGATTCTCACGTTCGACTCCGTATTGTTTATAATAACGAACATAAAGATAATCGTTTGGTCTTCTGGGATGCAGCCTCTGACATTATTCATGAGATTTAGTGACGAGTTGTGGTCTCCAACTTTCTGCAGATATTCTTATGTGCTTCCGTGTATTAGAAAGGTGAAATATGCATAATAATCAGTGTCTGGCATCTTAAATCTATATCGACTAAGATGATTAGAACATGTATTACGTATGCGTGTTCACGGACTACGTCAACTCACTGTTGTAAAAATAGGTTTCAAGAAGGTTAGGGGTGGTCAGACCGGAACATAGGGTCAACTGATGAAGACACCAACTATTGGAATAGACCATGTAGGTAAGTGCAGAACGCCTGGTTGGGGTTTGCGTGATCATCGTAATCAATGGTTAAAGACTGGGTAACATGGCTCAGAATCGTTTTCAGTAGCACAAGTGAATTCACTCATTGTTTTCTCTTAGATCTTAAGTTACTAAACTACCTAATAATTTTTTATTCCACTAATCTATGTTTTCGCAGACCGTATTCTCAATGCTTAATCTTTTTTTGTCATCACTAATACCTCTACCATTCTGGTGTTTATATTGACACTTATATCTCTGTGCTAATAGGGTGACTGCTTGAACTTGATATGTCAGGACAAATATTGAAGAAATAGCTACGCCTAGAGCTAATTTACGGAATACTACCATATATATTAAGGTATGAATATTAGGTAGCCAGATTACTTTGTCTACATATTCTATTTATCATAAGCTTTCAGTCGACCGTTATACGACTCACTGTCCCTAATTTGCTGTCAGTCGATTACTTTCAGCCTCCTCTATTCACAGCCACTTTTCTGCTTCTTCATATATACTTGTTGTTTTTTCGTTTTCACAGTCCATGGTTTATGGAGAGAAGTTTGAGCCCCTTTGGACAAGCCTCATATCAATCATATTATACCATTATATAGTCATTTCTTAGCCTTGTCGTTTAGTCTCTGTTGAGAGAGGCACATTAGTATAGGGAAAATTTAAATACGGGAAGCAATTCTTCTTTAAAAGTATCTCTAGTACATTGTGATAGGGATCTTTTATTTTCCTTGGTGTTAACAGTTACTAGTTCTGGTAAAATTATACTTCATAATAACGACCAATAGTGATAATATTGTTATGATGATTTATAATTTGATACACTAAAAGATGGATTACAAACCATACAACATAAATATGGTGGTAGCTATTTAAACAAAATAGAAAAAAATCAATTTTCATTTAGGGGTAGTTAGTCCTAAGATCTTTGAAATTTTTCACTGGTTATCACTCAAAGTTGCTTTTCCTTGCAAGAAATTACAATGTTTGCATTGTACCAGTGTCACGTGATCCTGTGAGTTCCATGTAATGCGTTTTACTGGAATAAAAACTGTTAATGCATAAAACTATCCATTTTGTGATTTTAGCTCATTAACTGGTTGTACTATTGTTGCAATTTTATTTTAGCTTTATATTTTTTTATTTGGACACAAATATTGGTACAAGGGGACACCAGATATATATACGCCTCACAAATATTATTTTATTTGTGTGAAGGCTGTGATGCTGCCTGGGTGCTCAAACCGAAGCAGGTGGTTTTCTCAGGAGCCTCCGACCTAAAGGTCTGCTCCACAAGGCAGTGGAGCATCGTGTGGAGATGCAGTCCCATGGTGGCCGGTGACCAACGATTGATTCATACGCCATTTGTTACTTCAGGATATTGGAGCCTTTGTACTCCACTGGTTTGGAATCAAGGTTTTCCTACTCCCAGGTGGATTCTCCATATCCACCAACCCGGTTAAAGCGCCGAACATTCTCTTTTCGTCCTCTCAATTTCGTATAAAACACCCCCGTCACGAGAAGGCATTGAGTAGGACTTCCTTCGCAGAAGCTGTTTACGCGTGGCCGTATGAGAGCATTTCGAGAGGGAGAGCGGACTATCCCCACTCTCGGCCGTTCCAGGGCATTTGTAGGCTAAACTGGATTATTATTATTGAATTAACTGAGTATTACATTGAACAAATTACTCATCTCTCTCTTATTCACATTGTTAACCTTTTCCATATGTATCTTTTTGTTTTAATAGGATTATGATGAATTTATTCAAGCTAATGAAAATGAAATGCTATTAGAATTTCTAAAACTTAATGATTCATCACGTGCATCAAGTTTAGAAACTGAATCATAATTTATATGTATATATAATCTCTCCTTACTACTTTATTCAATAAATAAATAAATAAATAAATAAAGGGAAATGTAACATCCCTTGTTGTTGTTTTCACCCTTAACTGAAAAAAAATTTTTCTGTTTTAAAAAAAATTTCTTTTGTATCCCATTTATATGTAATATAATATGTGTGTGTGTATGTGTATATTTCTCTCTTTTGCTTTCTTTGTTATTCTACCGCATCCTTTCATTGCCAGTTTTGGTGTTTATTTTAAATTATCTTGATAGTATTATAATCTTGTATGTTAACTTGATATTATTATTATTCTTCTTTATGCAATATGAACATAGTAACTTGGCAATATCTTCTCTTGCTTAATCATCTCGGTATTTTAATCAATGTACCTACTTGTGTTTGCCTACTTGTTTTTATTTTCCGTTTCTAAGCAGCTTCCTAAGTATAAACGTACTAATTGTGCTAACAATAGTTATTTATATTGGGGATAGGTGATCTTTTTGTGTTTTATTTATTCAAAATCATGTGTATATTAATTTATATCAGTAAATAAAATGATGTAACAATAATTACTGTACTGATAGAGTTTTGTTGTCTGAGCTGGATGGTTTGATCGTGGAGCTTTCATCGTCCTCCTGAACGACATCATCAGCACAAACTTTGGGTAGAAGTGAAGTGTTCGAATTTCTCCACATGTGGTTCACAGCATATCCTGTACACCTCGATCTTGATTGGTTCTTATTGACCTTAAATCTGTCATTGTTTATTTTTTTGTTTCGGTTGTATCTCCTATGGGTTTGATTTTTGTTCCTATGTTTCTGTAGAAACATAGGATCATTAAACATTATAGTATGTATCATTCAGATGTTGTCTTTTCAACCTTTTACTTATAATTCATGAAATGTTTGGAAATAGTTGAAAACGAGTTTTCTGAGAAGGGTAATGGCAAGCAAACATTCAATTTCGATCATATATATTGATAATATAATACTTTTTGAACAATACAGTTGTTGAAATGTAATCTTGTGGATTATTATTAGTGTAAGTTATTTGCCAGGCCTGCGGATGTTCGATGCACTCCCTGTTGAGTCGTTAAAATTTTGTTAATGGATGTATGTTGATAAGTTGAAGCTGTGGCGCCGAGGTATCGGAATACTTTTAATAATTCATAGTTTGTAAAGTCTACTTTGGTAAGAGTACAACACGAACTCACCGACAATATTGATATGGTATAATCTAAATTGAGTTAAGCTGATGTTTTAGCTCATTCTTTTTTGATTTGGTGTTCTGAAAATTATCATACTCGCTTCAAGACGTAAAAGTTCTTGATTCCATCTGTTGTTGAGTTGATTTCCAAGATAGAATGAAGAGAGTAGCCAGTACTTTTTGTTTCCTAGACATTCTTCAACTTCTGCCACTTTGTGGTTGTTATATTCTCTGAAATGTCAGTTGTATTGTTGCGGAAAACACTTTATCATTCTAGGTACGATCATCAGTGCTTACGTTATGTGGTTAATCAGCTTTTGGTGAAAACTGTCTGCTAAATGAAGTCTATTGAATACCAGTTATATAGAACAAATCTACAACTAATATATACATTAATATGCAAATTATACTTTCATTACAGACAAATGATCATGTGTTTTCTTGTTATTGTTTATCAAGTTTTTGATATATTTTATTCTGATAATTAGAAAACAAATTAAGACTTTTAGAGGTTTCACTCTATGTTTGGCGCTTGCATCTATATCGTTAAGGAATGGTAATGATGGCTATAATTAAAAACAAACCTATGTAAGTCTTTATATAAAAAATGGAGTGTATTTTTTCAGGAATTAGAGGAATAATCTTTTCTTATGCATAAACAAATTGGATAAATCATACCAATTGAATGACCCTTATATATATAACATTCAGAGTTTTGTTTCTTCCATACGAAACTGATGAAATAGAATACACTGATTGTGGCTAACAGTAGAATTCAGCCTACTTGTTTCATTGTACTTATGACTTGTTCGTTGGATATACCTGCATCTGAACTTCAGTGTTTTTACTGACACTTGAACTTACTGCCTTTCACTTTAAACAAACACTACATTATTCATTTAACTACTGAGTCCAGATAAGTGTTAGCTTGTGTAACTTGTATGAAGTTCTACATTTTCGAGATTTCCATTTTTCATTGTGTTATAAGAAGTTGTTATGTTAAAAGTAATAGTTGGGTATTTCATGAAATGTATTTAATGCTTTTTGATTAGTTCTTTAAATGGGTTATATTACGAGTGTGGAGTTTAAATATTATAAAAAGTGAATAAAATCAAGTATAATATTGAATTTTTGACTAGATTTGTTTCAACGGCTGTCCAGTGCTTCCAGGATTTCCATGATGGTCTAGCTTCAATTGACTCACGCTTTCAACTATGAAAATACTAAATCTCTACAAAACCCCTTCTGATAATAATAATATTAATCATTTCTAAAAGTTGGACAGCAAATTAAGTGTTTTCGATACTTCGTTCTAGGAAGAAGTACAAGAAACAAAGCTAATTAAGATTTTAGTGGGACGCATCAAATCTAAGCATATAATGTAGCGATTGAGAATACAGGGGGGTAGAGTCGGATGTATTTGAACATAAAATTACCGAATCCCTCAGTAAACTCTTTCAACTATACAGCAAATTCTTCATTTGCGAAATGTCAATCGATTGTCACAGACTTGATCGTTTCTTCACTTCCACACCAATCATTCTTTGTTCTCGTTCTCTTTTATTCGATCTTCTTAACCACCAGACATTTCACTTTCGATTGATGATATATACTACTTATATCTATCGACATCAATAGCACACATCACAGTAGTACTATCAATTTTTTCTTTGTTATTTAATATAAGTCCCCCGGTTATTCAAAATAACCTAGTATCATAGGAAACTATGAAGCATTAAATTAATAAATCATTTAGTCCTGATTTTTTTCTTCGTTTAGTTGTCAAACATTATTGAGCTAACTGATATGACATACTAAGGCTTAGGCTTATTAAGTAAGTGATTCAGTAATGATAATCATTCTGTTAAAGATTTGATTATATTTTGATAGCTTAAGTTGTTAATCATTTCAGTAAGCTATGTAATAGTTCCGTAGTAGTTTCTGTGATATATATATATATATATCCACTTTGAACATTTGTTCAACATAAACTTCGTTTTAAGTTTTACCGATGTAATTAAAGCTCACTAACCCGCCCCCCTTCAATTTATTTCATTACAGTTTTATTCGAGGGTTTGTCTTCTTGATAATCGAGGACTACGTCGGGAGTAAGGAGTGTATAAAAATGATACTTAGGACAAATTAGACATTAGCAGGAGATGGTGAAAGGCATGCAATCATCACATTTTCTTAATATTTCACTGAATAATAAGCACTTCTGCATCAAAACATAAACTGTTTACTCCAAATTATATATATGTGGATTTCATTTCCTTTATTTTAAAGGTCTGTTAATTTATCAGTTAATAAAAAGCATAAAACACTAAGGTCATTCACATGGTTACTCAAGGTCATCTATGTAGCTTCGTTTACCAAACATTACACAAAAAGTTGCTAAACACTGAATATTCTGTTCACTAATTCATTCAATCAACCATGCTATTGGCTAATATGGCTTGTTGTTATACAAATTTATTAATAACGTGTGATTTCATTTATATGTTTTTGACAACGGTGTAAATTACTGTTAATTAACTATAGTTATAGACAAACTGTATGTAAATTTCTATTTTGAATACACTCAGTTCATGTCCCAAACTAATATCAGTTCAGAAGCTTTTAGAATAGTTACAATTAAAACAATAAATCGTTGTGAGTATAAGGTTTTGTGATTGTTGAGATCATGAACCGATCAGTGTTAGATCACCATTGGAAACCTGAAAGCACTGGACAGCTTTTTCGTACTAGTATGAGACTCCCCATCAGTATCGATCCAATACTCCTCACTCGTGACTCAAACTCAGGACCTTCGGTCTCGTGCGCGAACCACTAAACTCTATACTTTTGAGCCAGGATCCAACTGTGTTAATGTCTAACTTCAACTGATCGACGATATTGCGCGATGATCTTCCATTGTCTTCGGTGGGTAACATCCACACACCTGAAACGATTGAACTCCAGTAGTGGTTGATAATATTGTATAAAGGTTGTATTGTGTGATGATTTGAAGGAAATAGAAAGCATAGAAATTTACGTTCTGACTCGGTAGTGTCATTATATTGATCTGATCATAAGATCTGAATATTGTGAGTTCTATAGTATGTAGAATATGCGATTTCTCAAAAGATAACAAAATAGATGTCTAGTACTGTTTGTCTTTCAACAGTTCTGATGTGTCTCATGATACTGAGCGAAGATAGAAACATCCAGCTAAGGGAATATCATTGGATATTTCACATATCCGACTTTACTTTGTGTTTTGTCATTGAACAACCGTTCTGGACCGTAAATGGTTCTCAATCACTCATAGCATATTATATGACTGTACATGCAACGTGGTCACCTCTGATTCTCTATCTTGTGTATCGGTCTAGCGCCCGGTCTAGTATTGAGTATGATGATCTAATGTCAAGTCTTATTGATCCTTCGTTAGTCATATTGTCTTGCGTCATATGTGTAGTGTTGATAAATTATTTATTTTATCACATTATAAAAATTTCTCCAGTTGATATCGACTAACAACGAGCCATCTAACTTGAAACACTGCAATTCTCCATGAGATATCTACGTATTGAGTTGTTTAGCCGTTCCGTACTATATGGTTTACAAATGATCAGTGAACGATATAAGATCATAGTTTATTTTTTTTTAATGATGCTTACGTAACAGAAACTATTGATGAATTATCGATTAAACATTATAATTGAATTGTAAACATAATTTATTGATATAACGAAATTGAAATGTTAGAATTTTTTGAGTAAGAATGAATAAAGGTACCCAGATAACCAGAATTATCAAGATGTTACGAACTCTTCAACAAAATGTGACACTGAAAATCATCTTATTCATCAACTGAGAAACGATTGTAAATTAATCTGGGAATTTTCCACCTTCTAATAACGAATTTGTAATTACACATAAATAATGCTTTAATTATATTTAAAATGAATAGTTAGGACGAAACGAGCTTCCTGGATTCCACTGTTAACCACTATTCATGTTTGCTTATAATGCTTGTGAACTAAGGCTATATCGAGGCAATACTCACAGTATGCACATATACCAATTAGATACTGACCAGTTGCAGTCCTAAAAACATCAATGGGAAGATTCAAACAAAGAATACTAATTGAGTATAAACTTCACCTCATTGCACAAGCAAGTGGCTATAAAAACTTAGTAGCTGAGTGGATAACGTGATGGTGTTTGAAGCGAACGGTATTTGGTTCGAGTCCCAGAGTGGACATCAACTCTGAGATGCAGATACATCCAGCTGACGAGTCTGAAATAGGACGAAACGAACGTCCTGAATTCCACTGCTAGTCACTATCCTTCTTTGCTTAAAATTTCTG